AATGAATACACCTTATATATATATATATATATATATAATTAAGAATAGTTGGAGGCTATTATACTAGCCCCAACCACTCTCTTGTGTCTAATTATTCGAGGAACATCATCACTATCGTCAAACTGCCTAGATGGATATTTGAACGCGTGACCTGAGGGGACTTACGACATTCAAAGTGACTGCTCTACCAACAAATCACGGCTGGCGGCACATATATATAATTGAATTATTTCAAGTCAAATCGAGCCAACACTAACAAATATTTGTGTTGGACTCGTTTATATATCGAGTGAAAAAAAAAATTTCATCTTCGACTAATTTGCTCAATAAACAAATTAAACGCGTGTTATTTAAACAATTCACGAACAACTATCTTCTTTGAGAGCTCTACTTCCAAAACAACAGCCTGACCTTGTTGCTCCCAAAGTATTCGTGACCGTGCCTTTTATTGTGGAAGGCAAAAGAGCCAAAAATAATAATGATATAATAGCATAATATTTTAATATATATCCTCCCCCATCACCATCCATCCTTGGTTAAATCATTAACTAGAGCTTGGGCAAAAAATCATGTGCAATTGAGTAAGAGGAGGCTGGCGAGTATTGGTGTACATTGTATAGATAAAACTAAAAAAATCAAACGTAGCAAAACTTACTCAATAGGCTTGCTTGAATGTTGAAGTATCAGTTCGGTCAATGACAATAATTTTGACTACATGCATTTGATTAACGGGGGCAAATTGATTAACCAGCAACCTAATTATATTAAAATCTTAAAATAGTATATCAAAAAAATTATGAAAATAATAAAGTGAAACAAAGATTAAGTTGAAAATCATTTCTTCCGCATGCCAAAACTATTTCCATGTGCCAAATGGTGTGAATAAATAAGGGTGTGCACTAAGAACAAGTCTGCGTGGACCTTGAGGATGCCCAGCAGAAAGAGAAAGGAAAAGGTATCAGGGACAATGAAGACTCACCAAAACATAGCAAGTCACACCCACAAAAAAAGGAGGTACAACCAACTAGTCATGAACTGCACGTGCAAGATTCAGTCCTCATTTGTAAATAGACTAATATAACCACGTGAATTGTGAGATTCGAGGGTACGGAATGTAATTACAACCTATATCTATAAATGGTAGAGGAGTATCTCGATGGTGGGGGACGCTTCTGGAGGGGGGAGGATGTGTGTCTCCTGGACAGATTCAGATTCAACATCCTAAAAAGTGTGGTAAGCGTGAAGATATGTCATCAACAAGAAGAGGGGCACAACGATATCAAAAAGAGGCAAGAGATTAAAGGGCAATAGCCAGCGCCACCCACCCCCCCCCCCCCCCCCCGAAGAAAAATTTGTTTAACGCTTTTTTCCTTGGGTGTGTCTCCTGGACAGATTTAAATTTAACATCCTAAAAAGTGTGGTAAGTGTGAAGATATGTCGTCAGCAAAAAGAGCGGCACAACAATCCCAAAGAGAGACAAGTGGCCAAAGGGCAATAGCCAGTGTCACCACCCCTCCCCCCTAATAGTGGAGGAGTCTCTCGGTGGTGGGGGACACTTCCAGAGGGAGGAGAAAAAATTCATTTAACTCTTCGTTCCTTGGGTGTGTCTCAAGGAAAAATTCAGATTCAACATCCTAAAAGGTGCGGTTAGTGTGGAGACATACTGTCAACAAAAAGAGTGGCACAAAGATCCCAAAGAGAGGCAAGCGACCAAAGAGCAATGGTGAGCTCCCCCCTCCCCCGAGAGCGTTGAAGAAAGCATAACGAGAGGAATGAAGAAGATGAGGGCTCAAATCATTGAACAAGTAACAGGTCAATTAGTCGAAATCCTAAGGATTGTCACCGATTTAGCAAAAAATG